AAGCCTATAAAAGCTAATTTAGGGACAACTCAGATTGGCACCCAGTTGCATAGTACCTTGCATAATGGCCATGCTGTTCATTTTCCTCAGGGTCACAGAAGCAGAAGGACTGCGCAGCAGAGTCAGGGCGTACGCAGTCAGGGCTGTGGTGTAGGGGTCTTCTGCAGAATATAAGTTGGACTCCAAGAAGTGTTTGGCTTTAGCAACTGCTGCTTTTTCTTCCTATATTAGGTAGGGGGAAACGATCCCAACTGGATTACTAGCTCCTGCATCTCCAGAGCTAGAATCACTACATTTCTTGTGGCCTGGTGCCTGTTAGGAAAGCAAGCAGCAGCACATTTTGCTCTGTCTGGTACAGAGCTGGCCCTTCCTTTCCCTGAGCAGAGCCACAACTCCAGGTTTTAAAGAAATGAGGGATATCATCTCAGCCAGAAAGATCCAGAAACTAACACTGAGACATATTTGTTTCCCTAGGGCTGGAAAGGCCACAAGGTTCAGTGAACACAGATGTATTTAGTAGCAGTGAGGTCTCTACTGTACATTTGATTGTGTTCCTGACACTGGAGCGTCTAGCAGACGCCAGAGGATAATAAAGGCCAAGATTCCCAGGAGTCTCTGCAGCCAGCAAGTGCATTTTATTAACTCCCCCAATGACCTCACTATGCAGGAACGTGGCTCAGATAATTTATAGAAACAATTTAATTGGACTTGATGTAATTCACTTTCCTTTGATTTCCCTGTGGCACTAGCCTTCCCCTTCCTCATTTCCTAGCTAAGATCATTAGCAACACTTGCAAATGTCCCCTAGGAAAACCACTAGGTCAACTGAACTGTGCTTCCAGAAACTAGGAATTCTGGAGCTGTCCTCCTCAGCAGTGACCTAAAGAAAGCATCCCACCACTCTGTGCAAAGGGGAGCTGCAGAAATTTATTCCTTTACCTGTTTTAGGGCTAGGCCTTGAGAAAGGCAGAGAAAAGTGCTGTCAACTGCCACTGAATTTGGCAGGACTGAGGAAGGCATTCAGCAGATGGCAGGTTGGAGAACTTGGTCTGGAACCTCTGCAGTGAAGTTCTCTACAAACACTGAGATCTCAGGTTTTCTCAGGAAAGCCTAGTGGCTCCCCTCTAGAAAGCTACTTTATGCTTCAAGATGCAGCACCTTGTGAAAGATTCACTGGAGAGGTGTAATGCTGCACAATGCCATACCTCCTGCTTTCATCCCCACAGCCATACAAGCAAACTCATCCCTCGTCTCTTCACAGTGACAGGAGAGCTGGATTCAGCCAGTTTAAGAACTAACTTGGGTAGGTCTATATTACCTGTATTCACATTTTTTAATTGCTGTGTAAATATACTCTCATGTGGAGCCAACTGCCAGCTGCTGGTGAGTGTTTATCCCTAGCAGCACTTCTCATCTGGAGCAAACCACAAGCACATAGCCAGAGACTGCAGAATCACCATGATTGTGTTTAGAAAAGGTTTTTTGAGACATCCATGCTGGCCAAGATGGGGGCTCTACTGAAGCCCCAGGTGTCTGAATACTACCTTCTAAACTAGGTCAAAGATTCTCAGGTGAAAAAAAGTGGGGCACCAAGAAAGGAAACCTTCAAAACCCCACAAAGGAAACAAACTCTGCTATGTTAACCAGTCTCTGCTACTGTTCAGTCCTTTACCTCTGAAGTCATGCCCGTCTCCAACAGAGATGCAACTACGTAGGCTGTCAGTGAGATCTTGCCATGGATTCCACCCTGAAGTGAACAAACACAAACAAATACGTGAAGGGTGGAGACCAGTGCCCTGGATGGGCGGCCTATGGGAGCCACGCAGTGAATAAGCTGTAATTGCATGACAGCCTGTGGCCTCTCCAGCTCTGAAGCCCAACTGCCCACTGCAGCTTCCGCTCATGGCAATAACCTGTAGATGCAGCTTCGAACTCTGAGACAAACTTTTGAAGTGGCATGCTGTGATTTCACCTTTTGTTTCCCATTCTCAAGGTGTGTTTCCCATTTGTTTCCCATTCTCAACTAAAAGCTGGCAGATCTGCTTTACTGGAGTCCTCCCGATCCATTTTCTTTCCCAAAGTATCCTAACCCTTCTGTATAAACCTTGCATCAGTCATAAGATTAGACTGTCACACAGGGTCACATCCTAAAAATGCATTTTTTGCACAATTCTGAGCTCCTATAGCTTTTACCTGGATATCCTTATTTAATATTCTGCCCATTGCTGGGAAGGAACCATCTTCCTTCTGGTGCTGGATGATCCAGTCTTTTGCAGCTGTTAGTTCCTTGGGATCAATGAAAATAAACCCACGGGACTGTGCAAAGGACTTGAGGACAAATGCAGTTAGCCTGAAAACACAGATTCAGGAATCAGAATATAGGAATAGATATAGAATCTATAGAATAGGTAGGAGTTAGAATATACAGCAGTGCAGCACTATGTAAGATTGTGCTTTTGGAAAATAGGAGTTTTACAAATCTGGAAGAAATGATGATGGAGATACACATACTTAAATGGTACAGAAATGGCAAATTGAACATATTTATCTTTCTGTGTAATACAGATTCAAGGGGAATGGAAAGCAAAACATTTAAAAATAAGAAAGAACCTTTTTAAAGCACAATTACCCTGTGCAACTCTCAGCTGTATGATTGAGAACTTGCAGGATTCAATAAAGGACTGGACATTATAGAAATAAAAGGAGTAAACACATTATATTAACAAGGATATACAAAAGAATTTGGAAGGACGACAGCCCTGAATGCTTTAGGCCATAAGAAAACAATAAGGAAAGTGAATTTTGAACTTGAATATGAAACAGGATTCTTACTGTTGGAAATCTCACCGGAGAAGAGATAAATATTTCAAAACCTATGTCCAACCAAAGCCAAACAGCAGCAAATTTCAGATTTTGACTAATCAATGTCTGGTTACTAAAGAGCTTCAGACCAATAACAATGTAAATTCCACATAATTTAATTCAGTACAGCTTCTATGGTTCACAGATAATTCATAAAGAGAAAAGGAACACAATTTGACTCAGATTTGTCACTGTCTGGAATTCACAAGGACGTGTAGTTGTTCCCAGGTTAATTTAAAGTTTTTAGAAAAATAACTATATAGTTAACATTATGGGGACTTTAACTGATGGACAAAAAGCACAAAAATACTGTATTTTTTCCATTTTAACTACTCATTATTAATAAAACAAATGGAAATTTAGATCCACTGCTTGAGTCTGAGTTTGTATTAAGTTTTACAGAGAAAAAGGACTTAAGCCAAAGTGCTTTCAGAATGTTAATGCTCTGCATGCATTAAGTGTGAACTCTGGCCAGTTTGGGGAGATTGAATCATTCACTTTACAAGCCCCTTAGGAATGGGAGGGTAGAAGGCATACTGCCTGGCAGGGGATTTTTCAAGTGTTAAGTAATTGTGTGTCACCATGTTTGATATCAAGGGACTAAAAGATGCCAAATCTGAGATAAAAGTGGAGTTTACTATCTTAAAAAAGTGAGGCAGCAGCAGCGCCACTGAAGTGCTACTTCCCCTCAGATGATTTCATGGAGCAAGTCATTCTAAAGAAAATACAGAGCAGCTGCAGAAGTCGAATGACAACACAGGCTTATGAATGAAGCACAGAACCCGCTGGGTTTGACAGGCTGTAGTTAGTCAGCTACATGCTAACTTTAAAGCAACAAAGGCTTTGGGGATGGAGGTGTTTTGGGGATGGAGTACCAGTAGGGTGGTCATACAAGTTTCCACATCCTCTGCCCCTTATACTATTCTACCCTGCAAGACTCTGCAGGAAAGCCCGTGTGGGGAGCATTGGTTTGGACCTCCTTCATCTCAGTGGAGGTGGAAAGCATTTGAAAGAAATGCTGAACTCCCTTCTTCTTATCCTGCAAGCAGAGGAGCCTGCCATGTTAGCAACTTAGGTGGTCTCACTGAACATCTGATGGTGGGGCTCCACTCTCCAGGAACAAGGATTTTCTCTGGGCCATGCACCACCTATGCAGCTCCATGGCACTGGCCCTTTACCACAATGGTGAACTTGTAAGAGGGTCGACACCTTAACTGTCCTTGACCCTTACAGAATTATTATTCATCCACTTCCTATTGGATTATATAACACAGCAGCATCACACTGACCGTCTCTCTGGCCACTGGAGAGTATTATTTCTACCCTCCATGCTGCATGACATCCTGGAAAGTTAGTGTCCTTTTTTTGCCAATTGCATTTTTTCCTCATATGGCAAACACTGAATTTTCTAATTCTGTTTTAAATAGCAACTCACCACATACTTCCTGAGGAATCCCTCTCGCCAAAAGCGCTATATGAACCATCTTGTCTTTTATAGGTCAACTGGCGCTGGTAACCTGGAAGTCACAAAAGGAACTGTGGGAATCCAGCGTCTTCACCCGGGGAAAAGCAAGTGTTTACACTGAATGAAGGCTCAATCTTCTGACACTGACACCAGGGGTTCTGTTGATCAGCCGTGTACGGTACAGCCAGCTCTACGTGTACACACAACTTCTTAATTAAATCTCCTTTCAAGCTAGTGCTTACATGCCTCCATATCTCTCCTGAAAACAAAATTAATGAACTACTACTTCTCTAGCTACTAGCGTTTCACTGGGCACTAGACTTCTCTAAGAACTGATTATATTATCAAATTTCTGGGATATGAAAAAACAGTTCTTTCATATTCATTGCTAGAAATATTTCATTTGTCATATTACTAAGCTAAGATACTCCATTGGTAAGGAAAAATGTCTTCCAGCTTAAATACACTGCCACTCTCTTCCTGTTGTATAGGAAGTGCCAGGCAGTGAAAAAATTAATTCGCTGGATGATAACATTACATCATAATATATACCCCTCTATTCAACCTGGTATCAACCAGGTGTTTATGAGATAAACCAGCAACAACTCATGCACAAAGCAGAATGCACCCTGTCACTGGCTGTTTGTGTTTTCAGTTATGATTTTTTAATTCTTCCCTGCTCCCAGGTCTCTTGCTTTATTAGCTACAAACCATTCTGAGTGCACTATCTTTCACATCTGAACATAGAAAAAAATAGTACTGTATATAAAACAACAGATGGTTTCAAGCTGCACACAAAAGGATGACATGACACCAGCCACAGAGGGGAGAGCTCTGCTGGGCTCTGGGGTATCTGCTCAGGATACTAACATTTGTTTCTGTAGCTTTGTTACCAAGGATTACTGTCAAATTAGAAGGAGTTCAGGGAAGAGCAACATAAATTGTTGGGGGACTGGAAGGACTGAGTTATACAGAAAGACTAAAAACTGAATATATGTAGCTCAGCAGAGCTAAATGTGTCGATGCCACAACTATTTGAAAGGAACAAATACCAAGGAGAGAAGGAAAGTTGCTGAGAGCGCAAAAAACATATATTTAGGAATAACTAATATGAGAAAATATAGGTTGCATACCAAGGAAAACTTCCCAATACCATCTCAGTATGTGAGACTACAGGATAATCTCTCAAGGGAAATACTGGAATCTCCATTCTTAGGGACATCTGAGACCAGGAAGGACAATTCTAGCCTAGTTATATGTTCTATTTGACTAGATAACTTATAGGTCTTTTCTGTTTCTACAGCCTTTAAGTCTGAGGTAGTACCTTGCACCAGGTAATCTGTGGCTTCACACTCCACCTCAGGGCTGAGTTGTTTAGTTTTCTGCAGATATTTTAGAACAAAAACATTTGGAGCAAAATGGATCATGTTCTGTTCCCCACATCCAAACGGTAACCGCAGAAGATTGTCCAAATTGTTCAGCGTTGGGCCCATTACATCTCCTGATTGAAACGAGAAGACACATGATCACTACCTCTGAATTCTGTCTCATAGCTTAATTTTACTTCCTAAGCAGAATGAGAAAATGAAGAAGGAACAATAAGAAGGGCCGCTGCAGGAGTACTATCACAAACCCAATGACTCAGAGTAGTTTCCATCAAAATCACAATCTCAGGTTAGTTAACAGAATACTGGAAGCCCCTTGGATCCTCAGTCCTAGCCATGCAAGATCCCCTTAGAGTGAAGAGGCACTTTCAGTCTCTAAGGCTCATTTACTTCTTGGCCACTCAGCCCAAACTGCTTGCCAGGGAATCAGTTTATGTTATTTGTGACTGTGATGATAACAACAGCTGGAGATCCCCACATATACTGGAAATTGGAGAGGGCCATGCTTGGCAGCAGAATAAAGAATACTTTAGAATGTAATGGAATACAGTTTTATCAATGGCTATGACTACCTCTCCTGGTCCACATTACACTTAAATATTAGTGTGAACCGAACCGTCGTCTTCACATACTGTAGTCCCCAACCCCCTTTTAGCTGGTACCTATTATTGAGGCAGTAGCTCTTTCCGATCCTGGAATCACATTGTGGGGAACTCCCAAAGTAAATGCTTCATTGTGATTTTCATCAGACTCTTCTTTTCTCCAGATTTTAAACTCTCCCATTGATCCCCAGCCTGTGGAGAATCCGATGTACTTCACCTCGGGCTGTTTCGGGATGGCCCACTCCACTATAATAGATTCATTTAGCATCTGAGTACCGTGGCCAACCTGAAAGGAGCAAGCAAACTATCCAATTCCAAGCAGAACATGGACGTCAACTCTGCCCTTCTCTTTAAATCAGAAACATGACCTGTGTGCCTTTGGACCCATGAATCTGAACCTGTGGCTACATCATAAACATCAGCCAAACTGTGCCAGTCAAACTCTACTGGTTTATGTGGAAATTTAGGAGAGATCACCATGCTATTTCCCATAAATGTCCTAACAGTACTGGCCAACCAGCCTCGTGCTCACCAATTCAGCCCAACCAGGAGCAAAACATGCTTAATATTAATCAAATTTAAAATTGAGGTGCCCAGGGCACTGGACGACAAAGAGAAATATTATGAAATATAAAAAAGGTGCTCAATAAGGTGGGAAAAAAACAATTAAAATTTAATATAGAAAAAAAATGAAACACACACTACCACATGGCTAATGAACATGTGCTTTGTGTGTTCTCACTCCTGATTAAAAAAAGAAAGAAACCACAAGGCTATTACACACCCAGATTCACTACCTGGATAATTCCATTTTTCCAGCTGATCCAGAAGCTTCGGAATTCATCCCAAGAGAGGATACTAGCTGTGTCCACACTGACCACTGGTTCACCCATTTTACTGGCGGAAATCCATGTTTTTGTATTTTGATGCCCACCAATGACTATCTCAGTCATCTCTGCCATGTCATGTGGGCCAGAGGACAAGGCAAGGTGAGCATTATTGTGAGCTTTCACAGCAATGTCGAAGTGTGTCATCCAAGAAGGCTTCTGCATGTATTGGTATTCATACTTGTTAGGTGTAGAAATATGAATTTTCTCTAGTCAAAAAATAATGGAACGTTGTCAGAATTAGCACTCAACATCTCTTAATACAAGACAAGGCCCAAAGCTGATTCACAATTCACATGGACTCTGTTCTGCATAATCTCTGTATCAATGGTCACCTGTCTCATACATCAAAGTACTAAAGTAGACAGTGGCTTCTTTTATCCACTATTCATTGTAGTCCTCCAAAAATGGAATTGCAGCTCTTGAATTCAGATAGCTTAGATGAATTTCTTGCAGCTTATATGCCATTTCCCTGTATACCCAGTTTAAATGACCAAGAAGCCTCTCTGTTTCCCAGAAGCCAGATCACAGTTATTGTAGCCAAGTCCAAGCTATCCAAATCAGGCAGAAGAGACACAGACTTCATGAATTATTATTTTTTTAATTAAGTAAAATAATAGAGTACAATCAACTTTATAGCACTGTCTATAGTCTCATCACTTAGACAGTTTTATAAGGTATGGAAGGTTAAATTTTTATTGGCAGAAAGCATTTGGACAGTTAATATTGTGCACAGGTTGCCAGCCAAGTGTGATCAACCCTTTTTATCAATCCCCTGTATTATAAAGCCATCAATAATATTAACTGATTTACCTACTGACCAGATGAAAACAAGGGCAGTTTTTCCTGGGGAGGAAGCAACACGTTTCTATTTATAATTGAAACTGGAAAAAAACATATCTTGTCTTACTGTAGTCAAATCATGAACTTACCATTAGGACAGAAGAACACGCTGTACGTATATTCTCTGGACAGTCCTTCTGGCTACACACACCCACACACACACAAAGAAATCCACACAGAAAGTTATAAGCACTTGTATTAACAGCAGCCTCCTGTACATCTTAATAATAAAGGCAGAAAAACAAAATTCTGGTGTCATAAAACATTATAGGACTCTCACAAAATATGAGGCTTCATTGGTATCCTGCTGGCTGGGAGACGTGCTATAGCTAGTCATTGCCTGAAAATGTTACACAACATTTCATTTTCCCATACTGATATAAGCAGGAATGCCTTGTGAATTTCCACCACTCTTTCTCCCCCCTGGTACCTAAGATGTATCAGCCTCCGTGGCGCATCAGACCAAAGCAGAGCCTCTGTGTTAGTGCAAGTGCCACTTACGATTTATATGTACAGAAGGCTAACTGCAGTTTTGGAGCTAGGAGCTGAGGAGTGTTTGCACATGATTACAGGATGACTGGAATTTGTTTAATCACATTTATGATGTTTACAATGACATATTTAAAGCATATTGTAAAAAAAAAATACACATTTCCTATAGTGTGAACATGAGACAAATGAGACTATTCGTGTCCCTAACTTGTACCTAAGAGAACTGATGGTAAATAACAGATAAGAAATTATGTTTAATTATGTATTAGAAAGTCTTTGAAGGGGTCAAAAACAAAGAGTAGGAATCAGTACAGTACCCTATATCCAAAAGGAAGCTATTCCAGGGGTTCCTTCTGATTCTTTACTAGGACCAGTGTTATGCTACTTCAATATCAGAGAAACAACTGAACAAGGTAGCAACATTTACAGTGATACACTATATATTTAGATAAGTCAGGATCAGAGAGCTGAGAGACACACAGGGCCCCTGTTACACCAGGCTACCAGGAATCAAAATGATTAATTAAATTTGATATGGACGGAAGAGCAAGAATAGTTTTTTTGGGGAATGCAGAAGATCAGGCTACAGTCCTCAGATTTGCCAAGATCCTTCCTTGGTCTTTGCCAAATTGCTTCCAGTCTCTGCACCTTAATCTCCCAGCAATGTAATATGGACAATAATCCTTCCTCCCCCCACTCTTTGTCTGTTGTAAAATGCATGAGGCAAGGACAGCCTCTTAGGGGATGGACTGACAAACAATTATAATATCTAAAGTTGGAGGTGGAGGGACTTACTACTCATGAGTGTGCATCAACTGTTCCATAGTAATGGTTTCATCCATCTGCTCCTAATCTTTAGTAAATGAAGCTAAACTGTGGTAATCTTACCCTAGTTCATTCAGAGGTAAGATGCCCCAGTTTAACTTCCATTTACTGTGGGATAGAAGCAGACAAACAAAATAGTTTCAGTGGCTTCAATGAATCATGGTAAATCCCCCCTCAAAATGGTATAATTGTTCATCTGTCGACACTCTTACTTTATATACAAAACCTAACCCAAAGGGACCTTGACCTTAATTGGGGCTTTATACATGACTATAATATAAATTAATAAATAAAATAAAATACTAATAACAGGTAACTGCAAAGGAACAATTTGATCAATTATACTCTGAGGTCTTAAATAAATTTAATCTGTCATCATGTGGTTCAGTGACCTAGCTTTGTTAAGGCACTCTGTAGTTCCCTATGATTCTATGATCGTGTTATATTTGACTTAAACCATATAAAAGTTTCATTGCACTGCACAGTGGCATCTGGGCCTTCTTATGAAACATTAGAAAAATCACCTTCTTACCTCAATTATTACACTGCTACGAACATAATCCACCCCGGCTGGGGTCCTTGTATCCATGGAACTGTCCTCTACGTGCTTGCCATTCTTTGGGGTTTGTAGCCCTTGTTGACAACAATTTGTTCCACCGTAAGCAAAGGCTTTTGCTAAGGAAAGAAAGAGAGAGAGCAGAGGTGTAAATGCAGTGATGTCTTCCGGTACCTTGAAGAACATTTCACTTTAGAACTGCTCTTCCCAAGCAGATGCAGTCGACTAAATCATGTCCTTCCTTTCCTTCTTCATGTCCTTATGACAAGGTATTTAGCAGAATTCACAGATTCACTGGAATCTGACAGGGCTGCACCAGGAGAGCTTCTTCTGTGGCCTTAAACTTGCAACCCCTGGGCTGTCAACCATGTGCCTTAACTGGCACCACCCCAGCCCTACTACATCAAGTGTTTTTGATTAAAAGTTGTTTGTTGTTTTTTTTTCTTTTCCCACAGGGTCATATTATTCTTGCCTACAAGTATTTGATCAGTCATTGAGCACTGAGGAAAGTCTTTGCTAATCCCAATTCATGAAATTTAGAGCCAATTATTATTTTCCTAAGAAGGTGTACAGGATTTGGGATTAGTCATTATTCTGTTATTCTAAAATCAGAGAACAGCAACAGTCCCATGCAACACATGGCAACACTTTACACATAACTAATAGTGAACTGAAGTGAATAGCCTGCAGCTTGCTTGTACAACACTTCAGAGAATTTTGATGAACAGAGCAATTTACAGATCCATGGGGCAGCTAAAAAACAGGAGAAGGCAGGCTAAACCTGCAGAAAAAAATTATTCACACTGAATAACTCGGGCAGTTGTAACCTTGGGAGGGGATCTCCTCCAGTCACAGGAAGAGCAATGTATTGCTTATGTGCGTGTTAGAAACAGGTTAGGCAAACACTTATACAGTATGCTTTGGATAAGCATGATCCTGCTTGGAGAAGGGAGTTGGATTAGACTGCCTCCTGAGGTCCCTTCTAGCCCTACCTTTCTGTAAGTCTATGACCACTACCTACCTGTGATGTTGCTTAACCCAAGCTCATTGAAGGACAAGACTATGGAAGTGGGTTTGGCCTCTCCAGGGGCTACACACTTCTTTCTTGTCAGATGATGTTTACCTGGATGTCCAACAAACTTTATGCCTTTTGGAACAGAGATCTTCACATGAACCTGTAAAAACAAGTGTTTCACGGCATTAGATGCAAACCTCATCAATAATAATGGCACACAACATAGAACTCAAAGACTCCTGAGTGTCCATTATATATATATATATATATATA